AACATTTTTGAAAACCATTTCTCATTTTCCTTCCACTTCACAATTATGTGCCACTTTGTGTTGGTCTATCACAAAATCCCAATAAAATACATTGACGTTTTTGGTTGTAACATGACAACATGGGGAACATTTCAAGGGGGAGGAAGACTTTCAAGGCAGCGTCATTTCACTTTATGCAGGCCATACATGGGTCGAATTCCATACAAATTTTCTTTAGAAAATCCGAAATTTTTGTGCGTTTTGTATTCCGATAGTGCCACCATTGATTTTGAAATGCAGCCAACCAAGCCTTCAATTTCACCTCATGTTGAAATAGAAAAAGAAACTTTTGTGGCCGAGAATCTCCTTTTCTTTCCAGGTCACAGCTTATGTGCATTTTATTATCAATTATATTTCTCGCACGATTCTCCAATCATTGATCAGCAATTTGTTTTTAAAAAAATTTCCAACATGTCCGATCACTCAAATTTGATGGCCGCACGAAAACTGGCCATTGCTGAGGCCCAATAATGGTGAGCAATTCGAACAAAAATTCATAATCACGATATTCGAAAGAAAATTTGTTTGCAATTCAAACACAAGTATGGCCTGAATTAGCGTCAGTGTGTTTAGGTAGGACAAAAAACAAAAACCGTACTACAGGTACAAAAAACAAATCATGCACACATATGTGTTATTGCCACGATCCAAATATCACCGAAACCGTCCTCTCCGCTCCTCCCATGACCTCCTGCTCTCTAGCTCCCTTGTCTCCTCCTCCCATGCTCATCTCCAGGACTTCTCCAGAGCTTTCCCCATCCTCTGGAACTCTCTACCCCAATTTATCAGACTATTGCCTACTCTGCCCACTTTTAGGCGATCTCTGAAAACCTATCTCTTCAGGGAAGCCTATCCTGCCCTCAGTTAACAATGGAACCTTCTATTTCTCCTACCAGTCCATCCCCCACAGTTATTACCTTTTGTACCACCAGCCCCTCCCTGTTAGATTGTAAGCTCCAAGGAGCAGGGCCCTCCAAACCTTCTTGTATTGAACTGTATTGTTCCTGTATTGTCTCCCGTTATATTGTAAAGCGCTGAGCATTTATTTGATCATTGGTAGATGATTAGATGTTAGCAGCTTCTCTGTGAGTTTTGCATTATATCATTAGTCAAAGCGCAGGAGGTTCACACCATTATTAAAAATCTAAACTGTCACTGTACTAATGACACTGTCTGGGAAGGGGTTAATAATCTAGGGTGATCAAAGGGCTAACAGTGTGCCTCACCAGTTTCTATATGTGTACAGTGTGGTGTTTTTACTAAGGGATGTGTTGGATTTTATTCCCTGCTTTGCAGGGAAACAAAATCCAGCACATCGCCGCTGACAGGACACAGCTCTACCTTGTTTACATAGGCAGAGCTGTGTTCTGTCTCTCTCCTATGGATTGTGAGTAGCACAACATCATTTTGTTCTTATTGAGTTTATATTTTTAGCAGTGATCACTGTATTAGTGTCACTGGTTCCCACAAAGTGCCAGATTGTCTGCCGCAATATTGCAGTCCCGCTATGATTGCCACCATTACTAGTATAAAAATAAATAAATACAAATTCCAATATATATACCATAGTTTGTAGACGCTATAACTTTTGTGCAAACCAATCAATATACGCTTAATGGGATTTTGTTACCAAAAATATGTAGCAGAATACGTTTTAGCCTAAACTTATTAAGAAATTTGATTTTTTGTTTTATAGCAAAAAATATTGTTTGTTTTTTTTTCAAAATTTCGCGCAACAAATAAAAACCGTAAAGGCAATTAAATACTTTAGATTGTAAGCTCCACAAAAGTATATACAGTACTGAAAGTATTGTAATTGCACTGTCTCCCTTATATTGTAAAGCGTTGCACAAACTGTTGGCGCGATATAAATCCTGTATAAAAATAATAATAATAAATACCACCAAAAGAAAGCTCTATTTCTTGGGGGGAAAAAAAATGACAAATTTAATATGTACAGTGTAGCATGACCGCGTAATTGTCTGATCAAGTAGCACAGTGCTGTATAGAAAAAAAAATGGCCTGGTCAGGAAGGGGGGGTAAATCTTCCGGAGGTCAAGTGGATAATCAATTAGCAACGTTTACTAGATTATACAGTCACAAGTAATGAGTTCAACCATTTAATCGCAACACCAGCAGCAAGAGGAGGAAGAAAAGGCTTGTCGACTTATCAATTCCCTCTGAGCCACCAATAAGGAATGCATCGAATTATGTACATGTATACTTCGCTATGAATAGATAGAAGTACCCTAATTTGAATAACAATTGCCTTAACTCCTCATGCACACAGGACATTTTTACAGCGGCTGTTTTTGGCTTCTGGCGTTTTTTTTTCTACAGCCGGTAAATTTCCCCAGCATGTTATCCTATGTGTTCACTCGCCCTCCAGAGGATTTACCCCCCTTTCTGACCAGGCCTTTTTTTGTGTTACAGAGCTGCATTACTTGAACGGTCATGCAACGCTGCACTCAAAATAAATTGACCTCCTTTTTTTTCCCACAAAAGTGTATTTGATTGCCTCTGCATTTTTTATTTCTTGCGCTATAAACAAAAAAAGACTGCCAATTTAGAAAGTATATCTATATATTTTTGACTTTTGCTATTAAACATGTCCAGTAAAATTTTTTTATTTTTTTTGTAAAAATCAAAATGTTGGCATAAATTTAGGCCAAAATGTATTCTGCTCCATGTCTTTCCTAAAAAAAAAAGAAATCCCAATATGTGTAAATGAATTGGTTTACGTGAAAGTTATAGCATCTACAAATGGCGGTATAGATACTAGGATTTTTTTTTTTAAACTAGTAATAGTGGCGATCAGTGATTTATAGCGGGAGTGCGGTGGGAATTCTGACACTGGGGGGAACTGACTTGGTGTCACTGACATCCCCAGTGACACCAATACAGTGATCAGTGTTAATAAAAAGCACTGACACTGTACTAATGGCACTGGATAGGAAGGGGACATGTGGGGAGATCAAAGGGTTAACTGTTTGCTGTTTTACAATGTGTGGTGTGTGTATTTCGCTATAAGCACACTGCTTTTTATGGCTCTGCTATGTAGAGCCATACAAAGCAGTGTGCAGGAGCTGACAGGGGAGAGAACTGTGTTGTTTACATACAGGTCTCTCCCCGTTGGAAAATCCTCGGTGATTGCCAGGTGCCCGCGGGGAATCACCATCTGGGACCCGGTGATTGACAGCCGAGGCCGCAAATGGCGGCACACCCCCTACCCGGAACTGCAAAATCAAGTGTGTGTGTGTGTGTATGTATATATATATATATATATATATATATATATATATATATGTGTGATTTTGTGCACCCTGCTGCCCTGTAGCAGTATTTCTATATCGTGTGGCACGGAAGCGGTTAATCAGCATTTTTTGATAGTTCTTGAGAGTTTTCTGGCTGAAGAAAAAAAACAGAACTAGTGGGTCTCAAGAGGAGTTTTTTAGCAGTAAAAATGCTCTATTGCTGATAAAAGCTGAAAAACATAAAAAACAAAAAAAAGCGGCTATTCGGCATTTATGAGCCGGAAGATTTTGTGGGAGTGTAACTTTGCTAAAAAACACACTGAAAAACACTACAAAAAAAAAAAAGCTGAAAAAAGCTACTGCAAAAATGCTAAAAAAAAAACTTATTGCAGCATTCTACAACACTACTGGCATTTTTATAACATCCAGTGTGCATGAGGCCTAAAAGAGAAGAGGTCCCTTTAATTAGAAATTGCAACTCGAGTTCTGTAATGGTTAAAGTTCCTGATATAGCGGTGTCTGTTGTATTCTGCTAGCAACGGTGGAGCCCATAAACATTAGTGAATCCTGGTAATTTAAACAGCTATTAAATCTGGGTAAATCTTCCTAAGGTCATGTGGTTACAGTTTTCTTTTTTTTTTACTAAGCTGGGCCAGTTTTCCTTCCATTATAAATCAAGATCAGGATATATCCATTACATTTACCGCCAAATTAAAGCGGAGTTCCTGTTGATTTAAAAAAAAAAAAAAATTATATAAAAAGTCCACAGCTACAAAAACTGTAGCTGCTGACTCTTAAAATACCAACACTTACCTGTCCCTCGGTCCAGCGGTGTCCTCACCATTGCTGGTTTCACCGGCCGTCTTCTCTCCCTGGCGCCGGCATCTTCAGTGTAGGCACCCTGCTGTGACAACTTGCGGCTTCACAGCCAGGTGCCCACTGCGCATGCACGAGAAGCGCTGCACTTTGTGAATGGCCCTGTAGTCTTCTGGGACCTGTCACATGGGAGGGTGGGTGGAGGACAACTTCCGCTTCCGATCGCCTAGGCCAGTGATGGCGAACCTTTTTGAGCTCGAGTGCCCAAACTGCAACACAAAACCAACTTTTTTATTTCAAAGTGCCAACACTGGAATTAATCACTTGCCTACCGGGCACTTCTACCCCCTTCCTGCCCAGGACAATTTTCAGCTTTCAGTGCTGTTGCACTTAACAATGACAATTGTGCGGTCATGCAAAACTGTAACCATATGCAATTTTTATCATTTTTTCACACAAATAGAGCTTTTTTTGGTGGTATTTAATCACCACTGGGTGCTTTATTTTTTGCACTATAAATGAAAAAAGAGCAAAAAATTAAAAACATAAAAGGTTTCCTTTGCTTCTATTCTAAAATTTTGCAAACCGGTAATATTTCTTCTTTGATGTGCATTGGTGAGGCTGCACTGATAGGCAGCACTGATGGGCATTGATGAGGCGGCACAGAAAGGTAGCACTGATGAGGCGGCACTGGTGAGCATTGATGAGGAGGCACTGATGATGCACTGATATGCAGGAAATGATGGGCACTGATAAGCGGCACTGACTGATAGCACCAACTGGAGGCACTGACCGGCGGCACTGCTGGGCATCATTGATGGGTGGCACTGATGGGCAGCACTAATGAGGTGTCACAGATAGGTGGCACTGATATGCGGCACTGATAGGCGACACTGATAATGGGTACTGATAGACAGCACTGATAGGTGGCACTGACTGACATCACTGCTGGGCACTGACTGGCGGCACTGCTGGGCGCTGACTGGCACAACCGCTGGGCACTGACTGGCACAGCCGCTGGGCTGCACTGATGGGCACTGGTGGGTGGCACTGATGGGCACTGGTGGGGCACTGGTGGGCACAGGTGGGTTGGCACAGGTGGGTGGCACTACTGGGCACAGGTAGGTGGCACTTCTGGGCACAGGTGGGCGGCACAGGTGGGTGCATTGCTGGACACAGGTGGGTGCACTGCTGGGCACAGGTGGGTGCACTGCTGGGCACAGGTGGGCGGAACTTGTGTGTGGCACTGCTGGGCACAGATCATCAGGGCACTGATGATCAGTGACCCTGATGATCGGTGCCGATCCCTGCTCTCACAACTGCCGGTTCTCGGCAGTACTTTCTTCACGATCTGACAGCGTGAGGAAAGTGTAGCCGAGAACCGGCATTTGCATTTCCTGGTGATCAGCATGTCATTGGACACGGCTGATCACGTGGTAAAAGGCCGCTGTGATTGGCCTTTTACCATGTCATGTGATCAGCTGTGTCTGTAGGACACAACCATCATGGAGATCGCCCCCGGGGGTGCGCAGGAGAGCGCGTTCTTCCTCTTCTTCCTAGCGTGCCCACTGAGATGGCTCTGCGTGCCAGCTCTGGCACGCGTGCCATAGGTTCGCCATCACTGGCCTAGGCGATCGCAGCGGAACTGGGAGCGGGTACCTGTTAAAATGTGGGTACCCCCGCTCCCCAAAGGTGCCAATCCTTAATGGAGAGTGGGGGACAAAGACTTATGCAGGCCATAGACGGTTTGGGCAATGGCATCGGCCGATTTACGCGGTTCCTCCTCATTTCTTTTATCGGTCATGCTAGAAAATGTGAGGAAAAACGGGGCCGATTTTCGCAATCATTGGTGGCAACAGAACCGCCGATGTTTCATTTTTCGGATGAAAAATCGGCCGATAAGCGAACCGTCTATGGCCTGCATTAAAGCGGAACTCCCGCTTTTGGGTGGAGCTCCACTTTAAAGCCCAATCTGTCTTGAAAGAAGCGCGGTATAACCCACCTGACTACACTGGTTGTTGTGATGATCTGTACAGTTAAGCGAACACGGGTCAAAGTTGCAAAATCGGGGTCTGGGAGTTGGGGTTTGTTTTGATCCTGGCCATGAAGGGGTTAAGGGCAGGGACAGACTGACCATTTGGAAACTCGGGCACTGCCCGAGGGCCCGGGGTCAGTAGGGGGCCCCATGAGATGCCCCTGGTACCTTTTTCATAGGCTTTTTTTGAGCTTGGGCAAGGACACAGGGGCCCCATGATCCCCTATTGCCCGGGGGCCCCATGAATTGTCAGTCCGCCCCTCGTTAAGGGTATCCTCCCCCATCCAATAAGCAGAAGAACCAGTGCCAGTAGGAACCAATAAAGGAAGAGCCATTGTATGGGGGAACCAATTTCCCAGCACACCCTCACTATTGTGATGGGGGGAGGCTAATTAAAAGGGCACACTGCAATGCCAGAGGGGAAATGTTATAGGGGAACCTAACGAAGAATGCCCCACCGTCTGGAGGAGCAGATAGGAAACGCTATGCTCCACCCTGAAGCATCAGCAGCCATGTAGGAACCTTATTAAGGATGGAACACCACCATGAGGAACCAATATGCAAAGGCACCCTCCACCCACCGCAGAATGTCTCTCGGGGGAGCCATATTCCGGGCGCACACCACCTTGGCGCCCTTTATTGCCATGTCCCGGAGCTAAGTGCGCCTCCCGACTCCCTCCATCTTCCCCCCGGGGATGCACATTACTCACATGAAGCCCGGGCTGCCCGTAGAACGTCCAGTCCTCCCGACGTCACAATGCCTGCTGTGTGACGTCATGGCCGGATATGGCGGGTGCTTTGCATCTCGGGACTCGTAGTCTAGAGTCGAATCCCCGCTTAGCGGTGCCACCTCCACAGGCAGGCTATATAAGCCCCCTCAAAGAGGCAGAAGGTGAAAATCACTGCTGAGGATGGCTGTTTATGTAAACAGCTTACCTTCTAAAATAACAGTTATCATGGGGATCAAAAAAAAACGATTTTAATCTGAATAAATCTGCATTTTCAATTGAAGGCATAATTCACTTTTATCAAAACAACAGCCTATGCAGATAAAGGGAGTCTGTAGAGGAAAATACACTGAGCAGCTTTGACTGAAGGTATATAATGACCTTGGTGTAGGCCTTTTATATACCTCATGAAGCCTGACTGGAACACTACTAGGATGTTGCTAAGAGAGGCCTAGTTGTTACTGTTCACCTGAAGGGTGAACGAGCTCATAGGTTTATATGCTCCTGTAGCCAGGTTACATAGTTAGTCTGGCTGAAAAAAGACAAACCTCCATCCAGTTCAGCCATTAAAAAAAAAAAGTTTATAATCCTACACCCACAGTTGATCCAGAGGAAGGCAAAAAACCCAGCAAAGCATGATCCAATTTGCTCCTGCAGGGGAAAAAAATTCCTTCCTGATCCCCCGAGAGGCAATCGGATATTCCCTGGATCAACTTTACCTATAAATGTTATATCCAGTTATATTCTGTGTATCTAAGAAAGAATCCAGGACTTTCCTACAGCAATCCAATGAGCTGGCCAACTCTTGAGGGAGTCTATTCCACATTTTCACAGCTCTTACTGTGAAGAAACCTTTCTGTGTTTGGAGGTTTCAGCTGTGTCATTATACCATTCAGGGACATTTACAGAAGAGACTATGGTTAATCTTTTTCCCCCGTAGTGCCCAGTACTGGGACCGAGACATCACTTCCTGTTAGCAGAATGGATCCAGTTCTTCTGACAGCAGAGGATCTTGGGACCTGTAGCCAATACATCCTGTATTCTTGAGTGCTGATTGTACTACAACTACCAGAAAGCTGATGAACGAGGAGGATGCTGGGAGAGCAGATATATTCTACAGCAAGGGACTGGCTCGCTCTATTGGTGTGGGATTCAGAGCTGAACACAGGTGGACTACCGTTCTCCTCCAGAGACAGATTGCTGGCCTACTGCTGCGGGACTCCGCATATACTGTAGTTCAACACAGCAGTGATGATCGCCACACCAGAATCACATCAGCTTCTCTGCATGGGGACTGTCACTATGCAGTCTTCACACAGACATCTCTGCTCTTCACACTGATAGGCCATCAGATGGTAACTCAACACTTCCCTGCAAACAGCCAGGAGCCTGGGCAAGAACTTTTATTCCTAGGAGGCCGTGGTACCCATGGGATTGATTAGTGGGCAGGTGCCCAACCTCTTTGTGTCACCACTCTAGAGACACTGCATGCAAACACATTTACACCTCAGTATCAGGGGACCTTTCCTTTGAGCAGTACCACAGCCTATCTGTTTAATTTCATTGAATTACCAACATTCTCTAATGTTTATGGACCCCACCATTGCTAGCAGAATACAGAAACCACAGTATCAAGAATTTTAACCATCACTGGACTTAAGTTTCAATCTCTATTTAAAGGGGATGCCTTCTCTTTTAAGTCCATTGTTATTCATATTAGGGTACTTCTATCTATTCATAGTGGAGTTTACATTTACATCATTTTCTGCATTCCCCATGGCGGCACTGGTGGTCCGCAGGGAGCTGATAAGTCGACAAGCCTTTTCTTCCCCTTGCTACTGGTGTTGTGATTAAATGGTTGAAGCTTACTACTCGTGACTGGGCAACTATGTGGCAAATGAGGTTTAAGGTTGATAAATATAAGGTTCTGCATGGCATATGATCACCATGTATAATACATAAGGGGGGATATGATCTCCATGTATAATACATAAGGGGGATATGATCTCCACATAAGGGGGGATATGATCTCCATGTATAATACATAAGGGGGATATGATCTCCATGTATAATACATAAGGGGGATATGATCTCCATGTATAATACATAAGGGGGGATATGATCTCCATGTATAATACATAAAGGGGGTTATGATCTCCATGTATAATACATAAGGGGGATATGATCTCCATGTATAATACATAAGGGGGGGGGATATGATTTCCATGTATAATACATAAGGGGGGATATGATCACCATGTACAATACATAAGGGGGGATATGATCACCATGTACAATACATAAGGGGGGATATGATCACCGTGTATAATACATAAGGGGGGATATGATCTCCATGTATAATACATAAGGGGGGATATGATCGCCGTGTATAATACAATGAGGGGGGATATGATCTCCATGTATAATACTTAAGGGGGGATATGATCACCGTGTATAATACATAAGGGGGGGTATGATCTCCATGTATAATACATAAGGGGGATATGATCACCGTGTATAATACATAAGGGGGGATATGATCTCCATGTATAATACATAAGGGGGATATGATCTCCATGTATAAACATAAAGGGGATATGATCTCCATGTATAATACATAAGGGGGGATATGATCACCATGTATAATACATAAGGGGGATATGATCACCGTGTATAATACATAAGGGGGGATATGATCACCGTGTATAATACATAAGGGGGGATATGATCACCGTGTATAATACA